ATCTCCAGCACTCACACACAGGGCCGTTATCACGCATGCCTCAGGCGCAACTACTGCAGGGAGCTCTACATGGGGCTGCCCTAAGAGGGCTTCGAACGCTTCAACGTGTCTGTATTTCTATTCTCTATAACTGGGAAAAAGGGAACCGTCTAAAGCTAAGTGTGCAACCCAGTGCACATTTAGTCCAAGCAAAGTCCCCAGCCAGCCCAGCTGTCTGAACAGGCACAGGATTGTGCCTTCGAACCACTACAGCAGCAGCAGCCGCCGCCGCCGCCGCCACCCACTGAAATGACTGGAAAAACTGCCCTCATGTGAGAGTGCTTAAAATTATGCATGTTTCTGAAAAGCCCAGGAAAGCAAGTACATTTTGTCCTGACGCTAAAAGGATAGTAATCCTATATTGCAGGTGCCAGGCAGTCTTCCCTGTGAGTGTTTTCTGGAGAGGAGAAGCCACCGCAGAACCTCTCTTTCACACGCAGTCCATTAACCACAAGGCATATTCAGGCTCTGGATGATGAACTGTATCCAGTGTTAGTCTGAATAGTACTTATCCCAGACTAATGCTGGATACAACCTGATCATCTCACTGGATCACCTTACTGGATCCTGAGCCATGTAGACTGTCCTATCATGACGTCTCCCATCACCTGAGCTGGAAGAACACATGCAGGAGCAGCACTGTCCATCCCAGGATGCGAACAGCAGGTGGAAAGAAAACCCAGGTTCACTCCTGTGAGGGCCACATACTTCAAATGACCTCATAGAGCCAGCGGCAAAGACTGAATCGGGAAGCGATGAGGGGCAGATACCAGAAGGCACAGTAGCCCAGAGGCAAGACACCATTGCAGGACAGGCCACAGCTCAGGACCACAAAGACTTGTGACGCTGTGACAAAACAGAAGACGACTGGGAAGCCTTTATAGGGTCTCCCAGTCTTGGTTGGTCCTCTGGAGTGGACTGGCACTAATCCTACAGGCGCCCACAAGTCCTGCATTAACCCTGTAAGTATTTGCAAGGGGAACCAGGCCGCCTCCCCTGTCAGGCCACCAGGGAAGCTGAAGCCCTTTGTAGGCCCTGACAAGCACAGGCCGCCCTCCACCGTTACGCTGCGTCGCCAACCTCGTCATTTTGCCACTGTTGCCGCCGCCACCTCCCTCTGGCTCATGCTGTCTTGCCATGGCAAGGCAGGGGGCAGGTGAACCCTCCTTAGAGCTGGCTGAGACGCCTGGCTCTGGGGAGGTCCTTCTGCAGAGACAGGCATGGAGGAGGTATCAGAGGAGATCCCCCATACAGGAGTCTCCGCATAAGCATAAGCCAAAGCAAGACAGAGGGTGGGTGGCTGTTCCAAAAGCCCCACCAGCTGCACGTGATGACCAGCAGTGATGGCCACGCAAGACCAGCATGACTCCATGGCGCGCCCGATGCCCGCCGTGTTGGTGAGTGCGTGGCTGCTTCGGAAAGCCCCACTGGCTGCATTCTCCTGCTGCAATAGATGCCAAGGGGGAGAGGACTTGGTGTGTCTCTCTGGAGAACACGCTGGAGGAAGAGGCAGGCCAACTTGATGCAGACACAATTTGCTGCTCCTCCCACTCTGCCACCAGAGGCAGGAGGAGTCATCCTGCACATAAAGAACTGGACTTGGAAAAGCAGACCCAGCAGCCACTGGAGGTGTTTCCATAGTGGTGAGTTTTGACCTCATTGCCACCTGATCCTCTGTAGCAGATTAGTGGCTGTGTGTCACCTATCTTCAAAGGCAGCCTCACCTCAACTGCAGTGCAGAAGTCCAGCCTAGCATGAATAACTCCTGGGAAGTACAGCCACTGGAGTTGTATCTGCAGCCCATTTTATGGAGCCTATAATTTCAGTTTTATTTCACATGCATTGGTGCATTTCTGGGCACAATTCAAACTGCCAATCCTTGTTACTTTTAAAGCTGAGGGAGGCATAAATCCATAAATCCCTCCAGTTATCTTGGCCTACAGTTCTCAGCTGCCCCAGGCAGTGTGGCCAACAGCAAAGTACAAAGTGAGTTGCAGGCCAACACAAGTAGCCCATCCCTGCTATCAAGCCTTCATGACTGGAGACCAAAAAACTGGAAGCAGCCCCTCCCTCCGTGTATGAAGTGAGTGCCTGCAGCATTTATCCTTCAAGGATCTTCCTGCATCCCATTGCCACTGGGCCAGATTGACTGGTTAGGCCATGGGGCAGGAGAGTGTCCGTGAGCAGGACCCAGGTGGAACAGCCTCCCACAGGAGGCCTGAATGGCCTCTTCATTATGGGCATTGGACGGGTTGTTCAGAACTTTGTTCACTAGTCCCTTCCTCCACTCCCTGGTTGTCTTACCTTGCCGCTTACATTTGTCTCGTTTCCATTTCCATTTAATCTCTTTCTCACTTTCTTCCTTTCTGCTTATTAGAATACTTGTTTTCACTTACATTGAGCTCTGCCAAGGGGGTATTTGAGCAAAAAAGCAGTACAGAAATATCTAAACAAACACAAACAGCAAGAGAGGGGCTCAAATATAACTCTGCAAAATTATGCAGAGTATTACTGTCCGAAGCACAGTGTGCCTATAGCCAGCCGGAAAGGAAAAAAATGGGCTGGCCCATTTCTGGGCTCAGAGGTATAGCCCACTTTTTGATGGGCTGGAAAACTGACACCATCTGCCAGCCACGGGCCATGCACCCTCCCATCTGAACTTGACTGCCATCCTCATACTACAAGCTGGGAGCAAGTGAATTTCCCCTGCATCAAGCTATTGTTCCCCACAGTTATGCAAAGTACATGAAGTGACTTAGTCTTCAAAGGATTGGTCTAAGAGCCCTTCACTTTACCCAAGGGCCTGCTCCTACTGGATTAGGAAAACTGCTTGAACTGGATCTTTGATATAGAACAACATAGCTGCCTGCCTTTCTGGCTGTTTCTTGGAGGTCTGCCTCCTGCCAGGTGTCCTGACGAGTGCGTACAAGTTAACATGCCCCACCGCACCGTTGTCTGTGCCTCTAACTTTAGCCTGATTTCCAGAAATGAGTAGGTGCTTGTCAATAATTATGGTAGCCCACTATTCTCCATACAAATGGAGTACCTTCCTGGTGCCGTGCTTAGGTGGTTTGTACAACTGCTTCATGAAGTATCATCTGCCACAGTCATGGACAGATCCACCATCTCCAGCCCCAGGGGGTGACTTCAGCAAGATTTCTGGAGGACACCACTTTTGCTAACTTGTCTGAAATGTTTAAGATTGGCCAGGAATGTAAGTAGGGTGGTGACATGAACATAAAATCCACATCCAAGATTAGGTGGTATTTCGGCAGCTATCAAAACAGCATTTAATTATGCATATTTCTCTCTCCATTTGGAACAATTATATTTTCAGAGTGGTAGATGGAAAACCAGGTAACAATTTGTTCAGAGGTTTGGTGAGGGCAGCAAGCCAGGCAGGGCATCACCACTGCAGTTTCTCTGTTGGCCCTATGCCTTGTTGCTTTCACAAAGTAAATTATATTTGGCCCATCGGCCAAATGGTATGGAAGGAGGAAATGTGGAACATGCCACCCTGGCCAACAACTGCTGCTTGGATGGGGACAGCCAGTAGGATGAACAGAAGCAGTCTATCTGACTAGAATCCGTATCTAGCAGCTATACCTTACCCTCATTTTTACTCTAGAGTAAGCACAAGGGCATTCTGGATTGGGATCTTCATATGGAGGACAGAGGGGAATTTTAAGATCTGGATTGGACTCCTGCACCTACTCGAAATGAAAGCCACAGGTGCTGATTACTGATTTAAAATAATATCTGGCTTTGGCCCTGAGTTGTGAGATCCTGGAACGTTGGCCACAGGGTCCTCAGAGATCTGCAGCACCAACGGTTTGCAACCAAGTCTCTTTCCCAGAGTTTACCAAGTGCTCTTGGGCTCAGTGGCTTCATATATATAAAACTGGACTATGCCATTCTTGACCCAGCAGGAATTGTGTGTGTGTTTCATGACTTTATCCATTATAACTGAAACAAATGTGTGGGGGGCGGGGCGGGGGTCAAATTAGAGGCATGTCCAAGATGTTGAGCAGGGCGGTTATGAGAATGCAAGTGCAGAGGGGAGGTTCGATTGGATGACTTTTGCATCACTTACCCTTCTACTCAGAGTAGGCAATGATCAGGAAAATGATTCTCCGACTCTTGTCCTTTGACATCACAGACCGTACCTGCCAAAGTTTCCTCTTCTGCACAACTCTCAGTGGTAGAAGAGCCCTGCAGTCCTCTGTTTACATTTGGTCACTGCAGCCCAAAATTTTCCAAATGTAGCTACAAATAATTCTAGGTGGTGCCCTCAGGTATATGGTTGAAAGTGGACCAGCGAGTGTGGGAAGGAGGAGGCGGCACAAGATCAACCCAGTGTCTTTAACTGCAACTTGATCCATGGAAATTCGGAGATGCGGGCCTTCCTCCCACTCATGCTAAAGGGGCTGGTTGAAAAGTTGGTAGTTCTGCTAAGGGGAAAATTTGCTCCAAAGAAGGAGAGGCGTGTGGTGCTTTCCACGTCGCCCGCCCTTAATTTGCACTCCTTATAATAACCATGTAATGGTAGGGAAGTATTACTTTCTCTATATTGTACATTAGAAGCAGCTACAAGCTCAGCAAAAAAACACATGGTTTGCAAGCAGAAGATCGGAGGTTCAAGCCCGGAAACCTCCGGTTAACGGATTGTATTCACGCAGTGGGGAGGCAACCAGGGCTTGGGAGGACCCGTGCCTGAGCGCACTGGCCCGGGCTGGGTGAACGAATGGCCGCGGACCTCAGGTGCTGGGCGGCTTCGTACGCCCCGCCGGCGATTTACCCCCAGAGGACCTCGCGAGCTCAAGGCAGAGGAAGGGAGAGGCGACAGAGGGACTCGCGGGACTTCCTGATTCGTAGCTCCGGGGACTGTTAAGTCGCTACGTGCGCCCAGCGGAAGGCCAGCGGCAGGGGGACCGCTGAGGCAGGCGGCGGCTCCCCTCTGGATCCCAGCACGGTGACGCTGTCCTGGCCCCCCGTATTTCCAGCAGCCAGAAGGCTCCGCCGGACTGCTGGCTCCTCCAGTCGCTCCCTCGCTCCTTCCCCGCCTCCTGCGTGAACGCGCATTAACCCTCAGCTTCCCCGGCCAAGTGCTTTCCCCTCGTTTCCTCGTTTCGTTCTTTTTTTAAGGGGTGCGGGGAGGAGGAAACCGCGGTGGGAGGCGACGCCAACCAGCGCATTTTTAAATGCCCTGGCGCTGGCGGGTGGCTGCGTTTTTGCGAAGCGAGCCGGAGTGAGGGTGGGCAGCGGGAGGAGCGAAGCGATGGAGCCTGGCCCGGGCTGCGGGGCAAGCGAGAAGCGCAGCCACCCGGCGGGCACCGCCAGGAGCCTGCTGCGGCCTTCGCCGCCGGGGGTCTAGCTGCGAGCAGTACGGGTGCCATGCTGGGGCCCCAGGAGGGGGCTGTGCCGCGGCGGCGGCGGCAGCAGCAGCAGTCGCAGGTGTCCGCCGCCCAGGAGAGCCCTCGCGACCCCGATCGCCAGCAGCGCTGGGCCAGCCTCTTCGAGCAGTTGGACACCAACAAGGATGGGCGAGTGGACATCAACGAGCTCCGCGAAGGCTTGGCCCGCATGGGCATGGACGCCGGCTCCCACGCCGAGCAGGTGGGTGAGCAGCGGGGGCTCCGCTGGACAGGCACTCTCGGGTCAGTGGCAAGTCGTGAGCAAAACGAGGGGAAACTGCGGCACGCTAGATGAGCAGCAGCAGAGGCACTCAACCTGGCGGCCTGGGGGAGCTGGACTGCAGGCCCCATCCTTCTCAGCTGGCGGGCTGGGAATGATGGAAGCTGCTGAGCAAGGCTTGCATAGGGACTTGCTGGGGGATGGTGGCCAAGCTAGACTCTGGCCCCATGTGGGATCCTTCCACCTGTGGCTGAAGCCCACCTGCTGCAAAGTGGGCCTAGACTGCCCTTTAAAGTGATTCAAGCCTCCCCGTGTGGGATTGGCTTCTTTTCATCCTGAGGCTCCAAGGGTGGCATTTATGCCAGCTGAGATAACATCTGCCAAGAGGTCCTCTCTTTTGGGGAAGGGGCTGCCTTGCCCCCCCCCCCCCCCGGGCCTATTTCCATGTTTGGCTGCAGGAGAGGAGCCTTTTGCATCATTACAGGGGATGGATAGAATACTCACTCACCAGGCACAGAATCCCTGCATTATAAGGAGGCTTTCCTTGTGAGTCACTGCAGCTCCCACACCAACTCTGGAAAAGGTCTTTGCCATCTCCTCACTGTGGTCAGAACAGTGGCAAAAGGTAGTGCCACGTTTGTGGGTGGGCAACTGTGTATAGCCAGTACATCTTCTGACAGAGAAGATGATGAGAAGGGGGTGCTGGGCTGTGGAGGAGGACATTTTTATCCGCTCTGTAGAAAGGAGGGGAGATTTCAGCTTCTCACTCCAGCCTGGCAAGTGGCAAGAGCCAAATTCTCCTCTCCTTCTCTGCCTTTGCACCTGGATCACCTTGAGAAATGTATGCAGAGAAATGGGCATGTGTGAGCTGTTTGTAGACAATAGATATAAACACAGGCAGGTTTTTCTCTGAGCCCTGGAAACTAGTTTGAAAGCCAGGGTCAGCCCTGGAAGAGGTTGAGTAATGCAAAAGTCTTAGCTGCAAAATGTATGCACAAGGTAACCACATCCAGTCCTGAAACCTGGAGGATTAGAAGCCAGACATTCTAGATTAGCTGATACAGTTTTTGAAAAGGCTTCTTAAAAAGTGTCTGTCATGCGCAGACTTGGTGAAGGGGTAGTTGTGTCAGTTACAACACAAACAGCAAAGGATTTTGTGGCACCTTTAAAGTTGAACACATACCTTATGGCATAAGCTTTTGTGGACTTGAGTGTTATCCTTAGCTGGAAGCTGTGTGTGCATGTGCACATTTGTATAGAAAGAGAAGGCATTGTAGATAGCCATGACATGCTGAAACTAGTCTCTGATAATTCAATTAAAGCCCACAAAATCAGCACGATAACCATGTGCATGGAATGGATGCTATAGAGAGCAGTAATGCAAATCCAGCCTTCCACCATGTGATAGTTATTATCACCACTGCCCCATGAGCCAGGCCATATTCAGGTTAATGGTGCTCTTGGGATATTATTAGCAGTAGTACTCCTCACCCAGCTCACTGCCTTGGAGAAATGCACAGTATTTATTCTGTGAAAGGAATCTGATGTCTGTGTTTGTGGCTTGCTGCCTTCTCTCTGTATGTCTCCAGTGGCAGTTTTACAGGCTGTTCCCTCTTGGAGCCATTAGCGTATCATGGGCAGCCACCACAGATTCATTCAAAGTGCATTAGAAATAAAACAGCACCCAAATTTATTCTTCTTCTAAGTGACTTCAAGCGAGGCTTTATTTAGCTCTGCTGAAAGGCAGGTATGAATTCAGCTTGCTTTTTATTTGCACCCCTGGATCCACCAACAGGGGTCAGGTACAAAATAGGAGAAATCATGCACTTAGAATTAAGGGAGATAGTGCCTCTTTTTGCCTGTAGTCCAAGAAATGAATTCACGCACACATCCATCCTAGAATCTTTTCCACTTAGCAGCCTAATTTAGGGTGGGGTTTGCTTGATGTTGTTCTGGTTGCTATTTTGCTAAACAATTAGGATTCAGAAACACTTGCTGATCTACAACAAATCACCCAGGGATCTACAAATAGATACTGACCTATCCTTTCCTTCTTGCTAAGGAAGACTTTAGGTAAGAACACTGAGGGAATGGCAGGGGTGGGAAAGTATCCATACATTTGGAAAAAGTACTTGTGGTTCCCACTGGTGTAAATGGCTAATGCACAGCTGTACAACACTTGTCAAATCATTAAGTGGTAAACAGGAGTTCAAGGTTGATTGCCTCCGAATTAAAAAGGATCGAGTTTGAGGTGACAGAGTGCTGTAGACACACTCTCCATGGTAGTTAACCTGCAAGGGCCCATTCATTTCATTTCTTGATGTTGCAGTGAGTTATGTGGGAGCTGGCCCAGAGATGGGCATCGCAAAGACTTGTGTATGTTTTAAACTACAGAAGTGGTATGGCAAAGAAATGCCTGGATGATACCTCCATGGGAAAGACGTCAGTTCTCTGCAGCAGGAGTGATGGGAGTGGTGGTCCCAGCACATCTGGGTGGTACCACATTACCTACACCTGCTGTGCAACATCCTTTCCCTGCATCACCCTCCAGATGTGTTGGGTGACAACTCCTATCATCCCCAGCCAGCTGCAGAAGAAAGGGTGGATTAAAAAGAAACATCTGAATCCCCATAGCTAGGAAGGAAGCGACGCAATGAAACTCTGCAACAACTGGTTGGAAACCAAAGGGCTATGAAGCAAAGTTGCTACTTAGTTGTTCATATCCTTCATTTTGAATTCAGTATTTAAGCCAAACTGGAGTTGGTTGCCAAGGAAACTAGTGGCCTAAAAGAGAAATTAAAGAAGACAGAACATGTTACTCTGACCAGTGCTTAGATCTTGGTGGATTACAGCAGTTACATTAAATGCCTTCTCTGCATGAAATGGTGAAGTCAGGGTCAAAAGCTAAAACTGGAAACTTAGGCAAGTTTTCTAGAATTCCTTTTCATGTCTAGCAAGAGTAACTTGGTAGATTCTGGGTTCAAGAAGGAAGCAGACACTGGAAGTGCAAAGTCTTCCTAGTTCTGCTGTTATAATAGCAAAGCCCTAAGAATGTTTACCCAGAAGTAATTCTGTACAGGTCTACTCAGATGGGAACTTAATATGAGTTAAGTATGCATTGGATTGCAGCCTTAGAAATTCTTTCAGTTTTCTGTGCCTTAGTTTGAGTAGCTTAAATAGGGAATGCCAGTTAACCACCCCATGGGATAGGCTAACACTTTATGAATACTTTGTCCTTATTCAATGTATGCAGTTTTCATTACTGGGCTAACAGCCTGTTTCTCCAGCAGTGTTGGGAGGGGGTTTGAGCTGTTAGAAAAGGGAAGGAATGTTAATAATGCTTATCCTCCCGGTGCAATTAAAATACAGAAGGGGAGCTCAGGATGGGGCAGAAACTCTCTCTACAGCACTACCACATGCACTGCCCAGATCTCTTGCACAAAATGTTGTGCGTGTGCCCAGGCCGGAATGTGTCTTTGGTTTTGCATGCTGCCTTAGGGACGCTCCTGGGTATATTGCTGCTGCTGCTGCTGCAGTCAGGTGCTCGGTTAAGCCAGATTTACTAATGAAGAGATCTATTTCATATCATTGCCAACAGCTGCTTCAGCTCTGCTGTTCCATGTACTGGCAGCTGGAAGGAACTCATAGCAGTAAGACAGCCTTCCCCAACCTGGTGCCCTCCAGATGTGTTGGAAACTCCCAGCATTTGCAACCTTCACAGTCAATGGCAACCCAGCTCCAGGCAGCCAGAATGGAGGAAACCTGTTCTGTTCTAGTCACCAAGGGAAGGTGCTTCCCCAGATGGGAAAAGCCCCCTCCCTCTGTTAGTGGGCAGAGTTGCAGGGCAAGGACCAGTCAGCTGATTGCAGCTGTAATTGGAGGCAGTCCCTGTTCACAGCCTAGCCATCCCACGGCAGAAAAAATCCGTAGTGATCGGCTTACACATGACTGACTGATCACCCAGCAGGTACATGAGTGGCTGGGACAGTCCCCTGGGGAGAAACAACGTAGGAACCAGAGGCGGGGCGTCCTTTGCCTCTTCCACCAGTACCGTTCTGCAACTGAGGGCTAGTGCAGCATGGTTGTTAAAAGTGCTGGACTGGGACCCAGGACTACCAGGCATTAGTCCCCACTCAAGCACTTTGGGCCAGTCGTGGACTCTCACCCTGATGTACCTCACAGGGTTGTTGGAAGGATAAAAAGGAAGAGGAAGAGGAGGACATGTAAGCCGAGAGAGCCTTGGCTATGGGGCAGTATAAAAATTGAATGAATGAATAAATCTTCCACCTAGCAAGAGGAAAACAAGGTGGGATATAAAGATAATAATAATCAGGAAATTAAATAAGCATTTTATTACATTCCAGTGTCTGTACCCAGCCACTTAGTGCCACTACAAAGCCCAGCCACCGCATCAGCCCAGCTTTTCCTTTCTGGAAGCACAAGAATGCATACCTACGTGCCTTAGATAGAATTAATGAGCACTGCTAGTGTTGGGCTTTTAGTTCCCTGCCTGCCAGCTTACACTGAGTACATGTGCTTGTTGCTAAAGTACTGCTTAGCCCCCCAACAGGAGGCAAGGCTGCTGACCCAACTTAGACGCGCATCATGTGAAGGAGGGTAGCTGACAGGAAATGCACTGAGCGACTGGTGCGACTGACAGTGCATGTCGCACCCCCAGGGTTCGGAGGCCTGCTTAGGTATTTGACTTCCAAATGGCATTTCATCATCCCTAGATGGTGAAATTAGACTGGTTCCCTTTGTATACGCAGAGATCAGAAATGCAAAGCATGCTGCTGACACGAAGGCATCTCCTCAGACCCCTTGTTCTCACTTCCTCCCAAGGTTTGAACCAAAAAACCACTCCTGAACGGCGTTTATCTGAGAAAGTGCTCAGCGTGGCAGGCCCCGAAGGACTGAGGTCTGACATGTGGGAAGTCTTAATGGAGGCTGCAGCCAGCACATGTGTAAATGAGAGGAAGCCC